CTTAAAAGCCATTTGAACAAGTTATAATCAAGATATCAAATTTTGGTTAACAGATCTTTAAGCAGCACATTCAGGAGTACCTATACTGAAATTTTGAACAAAATCCATTTTTTGGCCGAAAATGACAAAAATTGTAAGTCTAAAGCCTTAAAGGATTTTTAGCCAAAAATACGTTTTCTCTCTGAACTAAAATTTAATGTGCCTAACTATTTAAGTACATCCAGAATAATACACAAGCACCAAGAAATGACCTCGAAAAAACCCTATATGGCGAGTAATTAGCATTGCAAAAATAATTAAAATATTCTAAAAATCATTTGAACATTTTCTAAAAGCCATTTGAACAAGTTATAATCAAGATATCAAATTTTGGTTAACAGATCCTTAAGCAGCACATTCAGGAGTATCTATACTGAAATTTTGAACAAAATCCATTTTTGGGCCGAAATGACAAAAATTGTAAGTCTAAAGCCTTAAAGGATTTTTGGCCAAAAATAATTTTTCTCTCTGAACTAAAATTTAATGTGCCTAAATTATTTAAGTACATCCAGAATAATACATAAGCACCAAGAATGACCTCGAAAACCCATAAGTGGCGAGTAATTAGTATTGCAAAAGTAATTAAAATATTCTAAAAATCATTTGAACATTATCTAAAAGCCATTTGAACAAGTTATAATCAAGATATCAAATTTTTGGTTAACAGATCCTTAAGCAGCACATTCAGGAGTACCTATACTGAAATTTTGAACAAAATCCATTTTTTGGCCGAAAATGACAAAAATTGTAAGTCTATAGCCTTAAAGGATTTTTGGCCAAAAATACTTTTTCTCTCTGAACTAAAATTTAATGCCTAACTATTTAAGTACATCCAGAATAATACACAAGCACCAAGAAATGACCTCGAAAACCCATAAGTGGCGAGTAATTAGCATTGCAAAAGTAATTAAAATATTCTAAAAATCATTTGAACATTTTCTAAAAGCCATTTGAACAAGTTATAATCAAGATATCAAATTTTGGTTAACAGATCCTTAAGCAGCACATTCAGGAGTACCTATACTGAAATTTTGAACAAAATCCATTTTTTGGCCGAAATGACAAAAATTGTAAGTCTATAGCCTTAAAGGATTTTTGGCCAAAAATACGTTTTCTCTCTGAACTAAAATTTAATGTGCCTAACTATTTAAGTACATCCAGAATAATACACAAGCACCAAGAAATGACCTCGAAAACCCATAAGTGGCGAGTAATTAGCATTGCAAAAGTAATTAAAATATTCTAAAAATCATTTGAACATTTTCTAAAAGCCATTTGAACAAGTTATAATCAAGATATCAAATTTTGGTTAACAGATCCTTAAGCAGCACATTCAGGAGTACCTATACTGAAATTTTGAACAAAATCCATTTTTTGGCCGAAAATGACAAAAATTGCAAGTCTATAAAGCCTTAAAGGATTTTTGGCCAAAAATACTTGTTCTCTCTGAACTATAATTTAATGAATTCTCAGCACAATATCTTTCTTGTAAACTTGACATTGAAACTAAGGTATTGTACCATACACTGTATATACTTACTGAAATTGGTGAAACCTTCGGTGAAGAAAGAGTAAGTTGGTTATGTATTAAACCTGAAAATAAAATAAATATATATTAATCCAAAGATTATAAAAAAATAAATATAGTTCCTGCATTAATAACCTCAGAATCTTCATTATCCACACAATTGTTAGGACGGGGAAAGAAGATTGAAATCGTCATTCTAAAATTAATTTAAATTGTGAAATTGCTGTGAATAATTAACATTCTGGTTGCAAACCACCATTAGAGTCTTCAACTGACTTAGTCCCTAATGCAATAAAATACGACAAGAGAACAATCCCCATCAAAATGCCATTACAAAGTTTAATACTGTACAAACTATTCATTTAAATTTTAGGTTACAGGAACCCTGTACTTAATCATCAGAGAATGAAAGAAGCATGTTAATAAGGCATTAATATATATATAACTTATTTACTGAACACATATATTTAACTTTACCTTAAAATCAGGTCTACTTTAGCAGAAATGTCATCTGCGAGTTAGCAGGCATACCACAATCTGGAAATAAAAACTGGGGTTACATATTTAAAAACAATAAAACACACTAGTATCATATTAATATCTTCAGTGCCATGCATGTTCAACAATTACAAACCAGAAGTCTGTTTTAGCCATTGTTATTTCATCACCAAGAATAAAACTCCTTTCTTTAAAAACTATATTTAAATCACACCAAATTTCCTTTTTTACTCAATGAAAAAAAATATTCAAAAGAGGATTAACAAAAGCAAATAAATCAAGTATCAACAATGTACTGTATACAGTATACATCCCAATTACCTGCTAAACACCTCACACACAAAATGTATCTTGCCCCCAAATAAGCATAGTTGCAGCACATTCTGGGAAAAAAAAAAGGGGTTTTACATGTATCCACTAGAATAAACCAATCTAATCATTTCTTCAATGTCTTCAGGGCCATGCATGGTCAACATTACAAACCAAAGTCTGCTTTAGCCATTGCAATTTCATCACCAAGAGTATATTATATATATTTTTTTTAAATCTAATATAAAAGACATCAAATTATATACTGTATACAGTATATATTTTTTAAATCTAATATAAAATGACATCAAAGTAATTTACTGTTTATTAATTCTCAGCACAATGTTTCTTGTAAACTTGACATTGACACTAAGGTATTGTACCATACACTGTATATACTTACTGAAATTAGTGAAACCTTCGGTGAAGAAAGAGTAAGTTGGTTATGTATTAAACCTGAAAATAAAATATAATATATATTAATCCAAAGATTATAAAAAATAAATTTAGTTCCTGCATTAATAACCTCAGAATCTTCATTATCCACACATTTGTTAGGACGGGGAAAGAAGATTGAAATCATCATTCTAAAATTAATTTAAACTGAAATTGTTGTGAATAATTTAACATTCTGGTTGTAAATCACCATTAGAGTCTTCAACTGACTTGGTCCCTAATGCAATAAAATATGACAAGAGAACAATCCCCATCAAAATACCTTTACAATGTTTAATACTGTACAAACTATTCACTTAAATTTGAAGTTACAGGTACTTAATCATCAGGGAATGAAAGAAGCGTGTTAATAAGGCATCAATATATATAACATATATTTACTGAACACATATATTTAACTTTACCTTAAAATCAGGTCTACTTTAGCAGAAATCTCATCTGCGAGTTAGCAGGCATACCATAACCTGGAAATAAAAACTGGGGTTACATATTTATAAACAATAAAACACACTAGTATCATATTAATATCTTCAGTGCCATGCATGTTCAACAATTACAAACCAAAAGTCTGTTTTAGCCATTGTTATTTCATCACCAAGAATAAAACTCTTCTTCAAAACTATCTTTAAATCACACAAAATTTCCTTTTTTACTCGAAATGAAAAAAAAATATTCAAAAGAGGATTAACAAAAGAAAATAAATCAAGCATCAACAATGTACTGTATACAGTACACATCCCAATTACCTGCTAAACACCTCACACAAAATGAATCTTGCCCCCAAATAAGCATACCCGGTAGCTGCAGCACATTCTGGAAAAAACAAAAAATGGGTTTTACATGTATCCACTAGAATAAACCAATCTAATCATCTCTTCAATGTCTTCAGGGCCATGCATGGTCAACATTACAAACCAAAGTCTGTTTTAGCCATTGCAATTTCATCACAAAAAGAGTAAAATATATATATATATTTTTTTAAATCTAATATAAAATGACAAAGTAATTTACTATTTATTAATTCTCAGCACAATATCTTTCTTGCAAACTTGACATTGAAACTAAGGTATTGTACCATACACTGTATATACTTACTGAAATTGGTGAAACCTTCGGTGAAGAAAGAGTAAGATGGTTATGTATTAAACCTGAAAATAAAATAAATATATATTAATCCAAAGATTATAAAAAAATAAATATAGTTCCTGCATTAATAATCTCAGAATCTTCATTATCCACACAATTGTTAGGACGGGGAAAGAAGATTGAAATCGTCATTCTAAAATTAATTTAAATTGTGAAATTGCTGTGAAAAATTTAACATTCTGGTTGCAAATCACCATTAGAGTCTTCAACTGACTTGGTCCCTAATGCAATAAAATACGACAAGAGAACAATCCCCATCAAAATGCCATTACAAAGTTTAATACTGTACAAGCTATTCACTTAAATTTTAGGTTACAGGTACCCCGTACTTAATCATCAGAGAATGAAAGAAGCATGTTAATAAGGCATCAATATATATATAACATATTTACTGAACACACATATTTAACTTTACCTTAAAATCAGGTCTACTTCAGCAGAAATGTCATCTGCGAGTTAGCAGGCATACCACAATCTGGAAATAAAAACTGGGGTTACATATTTAAAAACAATAAAACACACTAGTATCATATTAATATCTTCAGTGCCATGCATATTCAACAATTACAAACCAGAAGTCTGTTTTAGCCATTGTTATTTCATCACCAAGAATAAAACTCCATTCTTTAAAAACTATATTTAAATCACACCAAATTTCCTTTTTTTACTCAATGAAAAAAAATATTCAAAAGAGGATTAACAAATGCAAATAAATCAAGTATCAACAATGTACTGTATACAGTACACATCCCAATTACCTGCTAAACACCTCACACACAAAATGTATCTTGCCCCCAAATAAGCATAGTTGCAGCACATTCTGGGAAAAAAAAATGGGTTTTACATGTATCCACTAGAATAAACCAATCTAATCATTTCTTCAATGTCTTCAGGGCCATGCATGGTCAACATTACAAACCAAAGTCTGCTTTAGCCATTGCAATTTCATCACCAAGAGTATATTATATATTTTTTTTTTAAATCTAATATAAAAGACATCAAATTATATATGTATATTTTTTAAATCTAATATAAAATGACATCAAAGTAATTTACTGTTTATTAATTCTCAGCACAATGTTTCTTGTAAACTTGACATTGACACTAAGGTATTGTACCATACACTGTATATACTTACTGAAATTAGTGAAACCTTCGGTGAAGAAAGAGTAAGTTGGTTATGTATTAAACCTGAAAATAAAATATAATATATATTAATCCAAAGATTATAAAAAATAAATTTAGTTCCTGCATTAATAACCTCAGAATCTTCATTATCCACACATTTGTTAGGACGGGGAAAGAAGATTGAAATCATCATTCTAAAATTAATTTAAACTGAAATTGTTGTGAATAATTTAACATTCTGGTTGTAAATCACCATTAGAGTCTTCAACTGACTTGGTCCCTAATGCAATAAAATATGACAAGAGAACAATCCCCATCAAAATACCTTTACAATGTTTAATACTGTACAAACTATTCACTTAAATTTGAAGTTACAGGTACTTAATCATCAGGGAATGAAAGAAGCGTGTTAATAAGGCATCAATATATATAACATATATTTACTGAACACATATATTTAACTTTACCTTAAAATCAGGTCTACTTTAGCAGAAATCTCATCTGCGAGTTAGCAGGCATACCATAACCTGGAAATAAAAACTGGGGTTACATATTTATAAACAATAAAACACACTAGTATCATATTAATATCTTCAGTGCCATGCATGTTCAACAATTACAAACCAGAAGTCTGTTTTAGCCATTGTTATTTCATCACCAAGAATAAAACTCTTCTTCAAAACTATCTTTAAATCACACAAAATTTCCTTTTTTACTCGAAATGAAAAAAAAATATTCAAAAGAGGATTAACAAAAGAAAATAAATCAAGCATCAACAATGTACTGTATACAGTACACATCCCAATTACCTGCTAAACACCTCACACAAAATGAATCTTGCCCCCAAATAAGCATACCCGGTAGCTGCAGCACATTCTGGAAAAAACAAAAAATGGGTTTTACATGTATCCACTAGAATAAACCAATCTAATCATCTCTTCAATGTCTTCAGGGCCATGCATGGTCAACATTACAAATCAAAGTCTGTTTTAGCCATTGCAATTTCATCACAAAAAGAGTAAAATATATATATATATTTTTTTAAATCTAATATAAAATGACAAAGTAATTTACTATTTATTAATTCTCAGCACAATATCTTTCTTGCAAACTTGACATTGAAACTAAGGTATTGTACCATACACTGTATATACTTACTGAAATTGGTGAAACCTTCGGTGAAGAAAGAGTAAGTTGGTTATGTATTAAACCTGAAAATAAAATAAATATATATTAATCCAAAGATTATAAAAAAATAAATATAGTTCCTGCATTAATAACCTCAGAATCTTCATTATCCACACAATTGTTAGGACGGGGAAAGAAGATTGAAATCGTCATTCTAAAATTAATTTAAATTGTGAAATTGCTGTGAAAAATTTAACATTCTGGTTGCAAATCACCATTAGAGTCTTCAACTGACTTGGTCCCTAATGCAATAAAATACGACAAGAGAACAATCCCCATCAAAATGCCATTACAAAGTTTAATACTGTACAAGCTATTCACTTAAATTTTAGGTTACAGGTACCCCGTACTTAATCATCAGAGAATGAAAGAAGCATGTTAATAAGGCATCAATATATATATAACATATTTACTGAACACACATATTTAACTTTACCTTAAAATCAGGTCTACTTCAGCAGAAATGTCATCTGCGAGTTAGCAGGCATACCACAATCTGGAAATAAAAACTGGGGTTACATATTTAAAAACAATAAAACACACTAGTATCATATTAATATCTTCAGTGCCATGCATATTCAACAATTACAAACCAGAAGTCTGTTTTAGCCATTGTTATTTCATCACCAAGAATAAAACTCCATTCTTTAAAAACTATATTTAAATCACACCAAATTTCCTTTTTTTACTCAATGAAAAAAAATATTCAAAAGAGGATTAACAAATGCAAATAAATCAAGTATCAACAATGTACTGTATACAGTACACATCCCAATTACCTGCTAAACACCTCACACACAAAATGTATCTTGCCCCCAAATAAGCATAGTTGCAGCACATTCTGGGAAAAAAAAATGGGTTTTACATGTATCCACTAGAATAAACCAATCTAATCATTTCTTCAATGTCTTCAGGGCCATGCATGGTCAACATTACAAACCAAAGTCTGCTTTAGCCATTGCAATTTCATCACCAAGAGTATATTATATATATATTTTTTAAATCTAATATAAAAGACATCAAATTATATATGTATATTTTTTAAATCTAATATAAAATGACATCAAAGTAATTTCCTGTTTATTAATTCTCAGCACAATGTTTCTTGTAAACTTGACATTGACACTAAGGTATTGTACCATACACTGTATATACTTACTGAAATTAGTGAAACCTTCGGTGAAGAAAGAGTAAGTTGGTTATGTATTAAACCTGAAAATAAAATAAATATATTAATCCAATGATTATAAAAAATAAATTTAGTTCCTGCATTAATAACCTCAGAATCTTCATTATCCACACAATTGTTAAGACGGGGAAAGAAGATTGAAATCATCATTCTAAAATTAATTTAAATTGTGAAATTGCTGTGAATATTTTAACATTCTGGTTGCAAATCACCATTAGTCTTCAAGTGACTTGGTCCCTAATGCAATAAAATACGACAAGAGAACAATCCCCAACAAAAGGCCTTTACAAAGTTTAATACCGTATAAACTATTCACTTAAATTTGAAGTTACAGGTACCCCGTACTTAATCATCAGAGAATGAAAGAAGCATGTTAATAAGGCACCAATATATATAACATATATTTACTGAACACATATATTTAACTTTACCTTAAAATCAGGTCTACTTTAGCAGAAATCTCATCTGCGAGTTAGCAGGCATTATAACCTGGAAATAAAAACTGGGGTTACATATTTATAAACAATAAAACACACTAGCATCATATTAATATCTTCAGTGCCATGCATGTTCAACAATTACAAACCAGAAGTCTGTTTTAGCCATTGTTATTTCATCACCAAGAATAAATTATATATTTTTTTAAATCTAATATAAAATGACATCAAAGTAATTTACTGTTTATTAATTCTCAGCACAATATCTCTCTTGTAAACTTGACATTGACACTAAGGTATTGTACCATACACTGTATATACTTACTGAAATTAGTGAAACCTTCAGTGAAGAAAGAGTAAGTTGGTTATGTATTAAACCTGAAAATAAAATATAATATATATTAATCCAAAGATTATAAAAAATAAATATAGTTCCTGCATTAATAACCTCAGAATCTTCATTATCCACACAATTGTTAGGACGGGGAAAGAAGATTGAAATCATCATTCTAAAATTAATTTAAACTGAAATTGTTGTGAATAATTTAACATTCTGGTTGCAAATCACCATTAGAGTCTTCAACTGACTTGGTCCCTAATGCAATAAAATATGACAAGAGAACAATCTCCATCAAAACACCTTTACAAAGTTTAATACCGTATAAACTATTCACTTAAATTTGAAGTTACAGGTACAGTACTTAATCATCAGAGAATGAAAGAAGCATGTTAATAAGGCATCAATATATATATAACATATATTTACTGAACACACATATTTAACTTTACCATAAAATCACGTCTACTTTAGCAGAAATCTCATCTACGAGTTAGCAGGCATACCACAATCTGGAAATAAAAACTGGGGTTACATATTTATAAACAATAAGACACACTAGTATCATATTAATATCTTCAGTGCCATGCATGTTCAACAATTACAAACCAGAAGTCTGTTTTAGCCGTTGTTATTTCACCACCAAGAATACAACTCTTTTCTTTAAAAACTATATTTAAATCACACCATATTTACTTCTTTTACTCGGCAAAAAAAAAAAAAATATTCTAAGCTGGATTAAGAGAAGCAAATAAATCAAGCATCAACAATTTAAACACGATATACATCCTAATTACCTGATAAACACTTCATTATAAAAAACTTATCTTGCCCCCAAGTAAGCATAGTTGCAGCATATTCTGGAAAAAACAAAAAATGAGTTTTACATGTACCCACTAAAATAAACCAATCTAATCATTTCTTTTATGTCTTCAGATCCATACATGGTCAACATTACTAAGCAAAGGTTGTTTTGGCCACCATATACTATACTGTATTTCACAATTATGTAAATTAGTAAAACCTTCACTAAATGCTTAAAAGTATTTATCTCTGGGGCTATTCATTATCAACATTGCATTTTTATTAAATTGGGTAAAATTTATTTAAGTTTCAAATACTGTATACTGGTATGACAAAGTATTGTTCCCTAAATCTTAGCTTCAAATACTGTACCACTTGATAAGAGCCATCACCAAATTAAAACTACAACCACACATACTTACGTGCATTAGTGAAAGCTTCTATTTAGCTGTAACATTATGCCTGCTAAAAATGGAAAACAAATTATTTCACTTCAATCAATAAAGCCTTTCATAAATCATTTCATGGAAATTTAATTTCATAAGACTGGGAATACTGCATAACTGTATGCTTCCCTACAGTCTACAGCACAAGTATAAATGGACCAAATTCTTAAAATCCCTTTACAAAAATAATCTGAAGCCAAATATGAGGCCTTAAATAAGGTGATAACATTTATCTACAAGAACTAAGTCTATTTAAAGCCATGACTACCCAACTAATTTGTTTTGCAATGAAAACAGGCTTCATCGTCCATAAACCAAAGCACGTCATATTGAGCCAGAGATGCATATTTGAAGTTGGAAAAACTTTAAACGCGGTTTTCTTGGTCTCAATGTTTGGCGCAAATAACCCATATGATGCAGGGAGCCTCATATTATAAAAAGAAAGATGGGGAGTTATGAGGGAATCACTGGGCAAACATTATTACTTGGCTACGAATCATGGACCTTGAATGCATTATCATTAAGCAAATTAGAAGCTTGCAAAAATAATGGACTGAGTTAAGTATGTGGATTGATTAGAAGCAAATTAGATATGAAGAAATTATAAGTGAAGATGAAAATGTCAAGTCGTGTTTACCCAGGGTCTGCTATGGTAGGTTTTTACATATTTCAATGGAAGTGAAATATTAGTAAAAATTATTTAAAAGTTCAGATAAGGTGGTTAGGGGAAGATAGGATTACTCTGGAGATGAAAGAACACACAGTGAAGGGGGTTAGACAATGTATAAGCTTTGTGGTCAAGTTATGGCAGTGCGAGTGAATGGATGAAACACAAAACTAAATAAACTTAACTATGAATTTAAAAGTAATTGCACATGAATGAGTTGTTAAATTTTCAATGACAAATTATTTTGCTGAACAATACCAACTCTGATATATATAGAACTATCAGTTTTGGCTGTACTGTACAGTATAATTCTTTATTAATTAACAGTTGCTGTCAAACAAAGAAGCTCTTTCATGATCAGCTGACTGAATCTAGCCCAGAACATGGGCAATGTAGGTATTTAAGGTCTCCATGATCATCTATGAAAAGATGAACACTATACCTTTGGTATGGCAACATAAAACAGTGGACAAGAAAACCATTTCTAGGCTTTTTTTTTATTATGATGTTACAAATTATTCCCTAGCAGCCATGAGTTTCTGGCGAGCTAGTTTTTTCTTAGAAACCTTCTTCTTTACAGGCTCATCTTGAGCTTTGGCCACAACCTGCTCCTTCTCAGCCAGGATGACTTCAATGTGGCAAGGCGAGGACATGAATGGATTGATACGACCATGAGCACGGTAAGTGCGGCGACGCATTTGACGTGCTCGTTGTACCATGATGTGCTCAATCACCAGGTGGTCAACTTCTAAACCCTGAAAATATGAAATATTTGCTAAATTATAATGCATAACTGAATAGAAAGAAAGTTCCATATTAGAATTAACAAATCTTATAATGTATTAAAAAAAAGTTTAAAATCTTTCAGTACATTAATTGGTCAACCAATGAGAAAATGGGGAGCATATACAATATTATTAATTAACCAAAGTAGCATACCTTGTACTGGGCATTGCTCTCCGCATTCTTCAGTAAATCCAAAAGAAAGCGGGCACTCTTTTTTGGCCATCTTCCCTGGGACAAACCCCAAGCCTTGGCCTAGAAAAAAGAAGAAAGGTATTGCAGTATCATATATTGTTTAGGAATTCTGAGAACTGACAAAATCAGTACAATAAATAGTAAAGGGTAAATCTAGACGAGTTACTCATAGAACCAGGAGATTCCTTCTGTAATGGGCCACATAACTTCTTGCAAATTGCAAATTAATAACTACTGAAGGTACACTCAACAAAAACTTCCCAAACACTTGGGCACAATGGATGTGAGAATGAACAGAATGGAGCTCGTCATCACGGAATGGATTCAGATTCTTCGTTTATTTTTCAGATTGCTTAGTGCTTAGAGCGTTTGAGAAGTTTTTGGTGAGAGTGTACTTGGACCATGTGAAATAAGCCCAAAGATAAGAGAAGTGAGTGACGTTATACAGTACACAAACTATTGCACTACCTTTTATAAAACCATCAAAAGCATACAGTAGATGTTAGCAAATACGCTGGAGTATACAGTAAAAATAAGTCAAAGTTCCAAGGAACATCACATTAAATAGACAAGAAATTACTGCAGGGTTAATATGTGTACAGTGTTCAAATTGTTAAAACTCGTTATAAGAAAATGCTATACCTCAAAAACAAGCGCTAATTTTAAGTACAATACAAGCAGTCCATGATTTATGAAAATCTGTTGGAGAAAAAAATACGAAATGAATTCTTGCACTTTTTTTGCAGCCAGAAAACTCCAAGGTGCTAATCATGGCTATTATATTTCTACCTGGATTAATATAAAGTTACAGTACTATAATCAGACAGGACTAAGTTGACAGATGATTACTGGTTACATGGAGATGGTAATTCCTCACAGAAATATCACAAAACAGATAACAATGTACTGTACTGTGAGCATCAGCTAACAGAGCAATATATGTTTTAAGCAAAATATTGATGAGGAAGTTAGTTATGCAAATTCTGTGTTCAATGTCAACAGAATATACAATTATTTGGAAAATGTTAACTCTTTAAACAATACATACAGCAATGGTCTAACTACTCCCTTAACATAGTACACATGTTTTCACAATGTCGTCCAAGCAACAAGTATGAAACAAGATACAGTAATAAACACAGTGTATTCAAGGAGAGAGAAGAAACTTGTAACAATGACATTAATAGGTTTCATTCTTAACTTGCCAGGAATTTGGCTTTTTACATTCCAGTTTTAGGCAGTACTGTACACTAACGTAACACTGAACCAAATCCCTTACCACAAACTCACAATAATGAGATAATGATTAAGTACACTGACAGAGGTATGGCAGCTGAGTGGATACAGTGTCCATGGTTGTTACTTAAATCCCAGCATATTCCCAGTTCACCTAGCTGTAAATGGCTATTGGGGTTTCTTCTAATCACAATAGATGTATCCCTGATAAGTGCTACTTTTCCAGTACACCTGTACAAATAATGGGAAATAAAGTTAACAGTGGGGAAAGTTTCTAAATGCATCAAACTGGTTAAGACTGAAATTTATGCATCCAAGCTAATTGTTATTTTTTTTCTAGGTGCAAGGCAAAGTAAAGACCCTCACAATTTTTGAAGTCATGGTGTTATGGTATATAATATAAAAATGCACTTATAAACAAAATCTTACTTTTTGCCTTCAACCCTCTAAGTAGCATGGATGTCCACTACTGTAATTCCGAGTTACACACTAACAGATGATGGCCAACGACATAACAAAATATAATGATGCTAAAGGCACCAACCCCTAATTCATCAGCATCATAATATCACAAGTACTGAACAGGTGACTTTAGGTGGGTATTTACTGTACCTAACCTTAATGATGGGGAAGTGAAAACAGTTAAGTACAGTCCACACTGCCTACTATCTTGCATACTGAAGCCAAAGTGTACACTGTCCCAATTAGGCAATCATGCCAAAATGACCCACATTCTGTATTATATAAAGTGAGAATGCAACAGTAAAGCAATAACTGCAACAAAAGCACACACTCATCTTCAAGGGAATGACACCTTTCACCTTTACAAATTTATTTCATTTCATGCTGCTTTACTATATAATCCAATATTAGCATTAACACCACAATTCTTTTAATTCACCATCAGGTTCTTTGCAAAATGGGATAGTGCCTGCACTGTATACTTCTCTTATGATCCAACCTGTGTTAGGTTTACCAACAATTGTAGTACTGTAGTTTGAACTTTCCAATAAAATTTAATGAATCAATATTAACAACAATCAACATATATATAATTTAATATTTATATGCAGCAGTTTGTTTTCCTGGGGCCCAACCATAAAATGTGCCATATTTTTTTATGAATAAATAATTATAATACAGTATATAAAAGTGGGGTGATGCCCACATTTAATCTGCTCGAGACCTGTAAATTCATGCCAGGTACAAGAATTCCTGCATATGGAAAATTTTTGAAGACTGCTCAGTTGGATCAGACAAACACCTTTACTATGATGCCAATCCATACTATAATGTAACTCGAAGCAACTCATAATGAATGATGAGAAGGCAAATAACCACATGTAGTAGGAGGTTACAGTACAGTATATCCATTTTGTTATAATTGTTGGAACTGTGCCCTTTCTTCTTTTTCTTCTACAGAGTATTAATAAAAAATAAATACAATCTCACCTGTGCACATCGCCCAACACCACCATTGTATACTCGGAAGGGAACACACTCCTTCTTGGCAACCACATTCTTCAGGTAACGGACTGCCCGAGCAAGAGTCATTTTATTGATGGCATTGGCAGTTTCACACGTGTTCTGAAATGTAAAGCATTCACAATTATTGAACTTATTTTTCAATTCAATCAGTATTATATTTACCCTGCCTACTCCGTGCTTTCTTATTAACAAAGCACAGAGTAAGCTTGAGGGTAGACAGTAATTTTTAATAAATGTCTATGATTATTTTGTAGAGGATTTTCCCATTATTATTTATTTGTATGTATTTTTTGTGTATGTCTACACACACATACACTATATATATATATATATATATATATATATATATATATATATATATATATATATATATATATATATATATATATATATATAATATATATATATATATATATAATATAATATAATATAATATATATATATATATATATATATATATATATATATATATATATATATATATATATATATATATATATATATATATACACACACACACACACACAATACGTAAAGGTAATTACTGTCTCTAGAATGAATGGCTCCCTGTCCCAGGCACAAAAATACCAGCAACTTTAAAACTGCCCACAGACATTTTTGGGTACATCCAGGGTGTCATCCGCGAATTATACGGGCGTACTGTATATACAGTATAAGTAAACTCCCTCTAACTGGACTCGCTTAATTCCGGATCACCTTTTAAACCGGAGACCACACACGTATGCCCAACCCAGGAGAAAGCAACCAAAATCCAGTTAGTATGGGGGGGAATATTCGTGTAAGTGGGGGCTGCCACTGTGGTGTCACTGGAAGGTAACTAACAGCTGCCTCTGAGGAGGCAATAGAAGTGTCTAAGAAATATGAATATTGCACTAAACAAATAACTGATGAAATTAGCAGTGAAAACATTACCTCCACTCACCTTTGGTGGTGTACATTATGTGTCGTACAATCACCTGCCTCAACCACCTAGTTACCTCTAGAGTCAACCACCTCATGATAATTTACTAATCATTTAATACAGTACTTTATTATTAACTGTACTATGTGCTTCTATTTATTGGCAACAGATGCATCAGTGCAGTAAAAATGTATACCACAAAATATATTCTTCTACTTTGACTCTTATTATATCAGCTGCAGCCATGAGCAAAAATATTTATGGCTAGCAAAAAAATTGATAAACTTTTACCCATGGCATCTGTTATAATTGTTAGAAAAATTTATTTGATACCACAATAATCCTGAATAAATTCTCTACATGACTGGTAAAAAATGTATGTTTCCAAGATAAAATGATGGGAACAATTCTTTTATGAAAAGACACAGGAAATGTTTATATTGGAGTCTATAAAATCAGTTATAATTCAGCTAGAACCACCATTTTTTACCAAATAATCCTGAACAGTTATCTGTAAGTTTGGTCAAACAAATACGTACAGTATACCCATAAACAAAATATTTCTTATACGGTATTATGATGGGAGCTAAACTCTTTGTATAAACACATAAGGAATGCTTATACAGGAGTCTATAAAATCAGTTCTAATTGTTAGAAATGCAATTTTTACCAAAATAATCCTGAATACACCGTGTATGTATTAGGGATGTGTCGATGTATTGGTGGTACTGTATCAGCCTATTTTTGGAGTATCGGTAATAGCAATTTTTAGCTGATACTTTCATAATTTCTTTAATTTTCGTTTCTGGCAACCAAATCTAGCCCTTTCCATTATTACACATTTGGCAGACCATACCGCAAGTCAACTGCTCAGGAATGCAACTACCGGTAGCAGTGGCATTTTCTCTAACATAAGTACTGTACATAATAAATATTTTGGGCCAATAAACATGTTCTTTGTTCAATGTACAATACCTGTACAGTATTAATAGATGTTGTCCCCATTCGTTGAAACAGCAGGTATTTCATGTTAGAGCACACATTTGAAGAAAAAATTGCTATTGCAAACTACTGCCTTGAAGCCCCCAACCTCCCTGAGTTTCTTGCAAACAAATGGAACCTGATTGGAAAGCTCTCTACTCTATTGAAAATATTCCACAAGACCACTGTTCGGTTGAGTGAATAACAATGCACCGTTTCAGAGATAACCACTCAAATTAAGTTTCTTTGAATATTCAAAACTAAAGCCTCAGCAGATGCTCAGTTTTCCAGAGTACAGATTTCATAAACATCTTGATGACAACAACCCAAGAAAGTACCAGCAACACATCTTGATCCAAGGATACCCTGTATGAAACTGAAGGTGATGAAATGTCTAAATTGCATGAAGTTAACCTGCAGAGAGCAGGAAGCAAGCTTTTACAAGAGAATAAGTGTGAGCATACCAATGCACATTCCAGTGAAACTTAAGTGCAGAAACTAGTGTGTCTTGTGCAAATTGATGACTTAAAGACTGTTTGGATAAATACTTAAACCAGTTAGCGACAAAGGGTGAAAGCGATCACTCAGTCTATAGAAATAAAATAAATTCCAAGGAGTTCTTTTAGAGTAAAAAATATTGTGTAACAACTTCAACTCTCAGAGCTGAAATGGACAGATTCCAGACATAACCATTGCAAGCATGTGATGGACATCCTCCAGATTGATGGAAAACAAATTACATACTTTCATCATTAAGTCTCTTGCAAACCAGCATCTTTCCTCTCCCTCACCATCAGTGGAAATGTATCCACTCCACATGCTAACACTGGTGAACCGTGAGAATTTTCAACATTGATTACTAAATACAATTATGTAACTCAAGTTCTTGTAAGTGTTTGTTTGAAATGTTTAATTCCAACCAGTAAGCTTTTGTGTTGAAAGGTCCTAGAAAATGTATGTGAATTTTATTTTAATCATTTCTATTTCAAATATTTTTATTCAAACTTGGTAAAGTGCATCCATATGTAAGTTAGTACTACAGTAGTGTGATTACTACTGTGTGTTTTAGCTATGTCTATGTTTCTTGGTTCCGTAAATGTAGTTTTAAAAACACTGCTTATACTGTAACTTAAGATTTATATAAATTTCAAAGCTCAGAGCTACAAGTCAAGTTTGGCTAATTTTGTTATAACTACTTCATTTAAATGCACTGAAAAACTGGAATACCGAGTTATATCATTTGCAGAAATTCATACTTCGTCATAGATACAGTCCTGTAAAGTTTTGGAACTACTGTATAGTTTACCTATAATTTGGGAAGAATTTTGCCATGTGTATTATTTATACCTGTGTGGCATGGCACTGCTAGTGTATTTTTTTTTTTCAATTTCAAATAAAGTTTGCTTAGAAAATAAAACATTTTCATATGATTTTCACTTTCTGTTCTTACTGCACACCCAGAGTCCTGAGATGATGTATAGTGTTTTACATAAAATGTAGGTTTATTTTTAATCTGCCGAGCCTATCTTAAAGGCCAACATATAGTTAGTGGTCATTGAGCGTGCTTATTATTTTTTAAATAATTTGTAATTTTCTAGTACTTGTAGTGGTACAGTATTAGCAAAGTATCAGTATCAGCAAAAAATTTTGGTTCTGGTATTACAGGTATTAGTCTTTACTGATAGAATAGTGCTTAACAGTGTAGGTTACTCTTCACTACAACCACCAGGCTACTGGATCACCATAACCATCAGGCTACTGGGCCAAGCTGTGAGGTGTTATGGTTGTTTTACAACGCATATTTTTGGGTAGATGTGTAACATTATTTATTTTTTACTCATTTACACATACACGCCATCCTACAAACATATTGTGAAAAAAAGTAAAAGAAATAATTGTCCGGTCAAACACATAACGGGAATATACATTTCTTTGCACACAAGTTAGCTGGCTCAGTGAAGAAGTGGGAGAGTGCATAGTGTAGTGGGTGGGGAGCATTGCTAGAGAATCGGCATCCCAGCTGGTCTCCATTGCTATAGTGAAGCAGGGAGTGTATGCAAATGGCAACTGTGTTAAACTTTCATTTGACTTTTATATACAGTACTGATTTGGCAATACAGTATTTTTTTTTGTAACTTATTTATTGGTATTATTTATATTTATTCCTAACACTTCCTGGAACTGTATACAGTACTGTACGTACAGTAAACCTTTGTTATTTGCGGGAGTTAGGTTCCAAGGAATGGCGTAAATAGGCAAACCTGCATATAGCAACAACCGACCAGCCGTGGCAGCCCTCATCCCCTCTTAACTTTTATGTTTCACTTCATTAGCACTCAGCTGTCTCTTAAGAGCCATTTTCACACAGAAACACAAAAGGTTTGAGAATACAATACGAGTTGCTGCGGGAAAAGGGTCGCAAGCTAACCACCAAAGCCAACATCTGCTTACCCGCAAATCATTGAAATTGCGAATGGCAAGGGTCTACTGTATATTTAAAGAAAACTATGGCTTCAGGAGGAAAATACACAAAAGATTTTTTCCTAAATACTTCTTGCTAAAATGGGGGTGCATTTTATATGCTGTAAAATATGGTACAGTAAGTCCTTGTTTAACGTTGTTTTGTATACCGTCGCTACTCTTTAGATACTAATAATTCGGTTAATGTCCCGACGACTTAATATAACATCGTTTTTAGCGTCGTCACAGACTACTTTTACGACAAATCACCCTCTCTCGTCTTGGCGCGCTACCTCTCATTCGCGGAACATCACAGCTTCCCCAAGTGCTACTGATGTGAAGAAGCAATGTAAGACCTTTAGCCTTGCTATGAAAACGGAGCTTTTAAACTGGGAGGAGCCACCCGCCGGGTCTCAGTGACTCGCCACTCTCTTCCTCCTCTCCCGCCCACCTCCGCTCCACTACCCACCACACACACACTCACTCCACCTCCATCCATCAGTGAGTGCAATACAAAATTATTTAGTTTATTAATATATACTGCATACCATTTTCAATAAAAATGTCATTGAATTTCTGTATATGTAATGTATTTCATGGGGCAAAGGGAAGCTCAGGAACGTAACTCCTGTATTTTATCTATTTCTTATGGGGAAAATGATTCCGTTAACGTTATTTCCATCAACGTTGCGGTTTTCAGGAACGGAACCACGAACTGTCTCGCAAATTGGGAACGAGTTATCTTGTAATTGGGTACGATTTGACATGTTCTGATGGGTACAATTTGCTTGGGTACGAGTTGTCCAGCACCCATAACAAAGAGAAAATCCAGTGTTTTCATAATTTTTTGAATCAATTTCGCTCACTTGTCAGTCCTATATAATTACCACTATTTTACCGAGAGTGCACTGATTGGCTAATCCGTCCATTACATGAGCACTATATTTGACTAACTCTGACAGCATTTGGCATTTACTTCACCATGAGTCAATCATTGCGGAGCTGTAAACATACCTAAACATATTTCTGTTGTGCATGGAACACATCATTAAAAAAGAGACGACATTTACTAGAACCTACCTAACTTCCTAGCTGGGGGAAGACCCCCGTCATATTAAATGAAAAGTACTTAGTCAATCAATGTGCACTTACAGTGAAATAGCATTAGTAGGAACTTAGCCAGTTACGGCAAAATATCTGCTACATTTCTAAAATCCAAACAGCAAAATATTCACTCTTTCTACAGAAACTGGTGGGGACGTTAAAACTGATCATGATCAAATTTCACTTATGCACCGGTCTTTGTTTGGATATTAAAAATGTTTTTCCGATGTAATTTGACGAGTTTCGAACGAATTTGATACTCATTTCAGCCGGAAATAAATAAAAAAAATTAGACATTCCCCCCTACGAGTGGAACAAGCTTAGCAACTTTGTAGTAAGTGCTGGAACGCTGGAAAGTTTCAAAAGGAGGCTAGATAGATTCATGGATGATAGAGAGTGGTAGTAACTCTCGACAGGAGCTGCCATGCACACGCCAACCGGCCTATTGCAGACTCCTTATTTTCTTATGTTCTACCCATCAATCTCAACGAAAATAGTTTTTTTTTTCTTCCGAGTAAATCACATTAATAAAATACCAACCAACGCAACCAAAATTAACGTAACACTATTTTTCTGACGAAACTGCAATTGACGTAAAATAATCGGTATTTTTGCATTTGCGCACACAACTTTCCTACCATTATCATATTCGAAAAAGATGTCGAATTATAAGATAATTTTCTTCTATTACATTACCGTCGCAAATGTATAATAACGGAGATAGCGTATCCAAAATCTTCTCTATTTTCTACCATTAATCTTCCGCCATTATAGCCTACCTCACCTCCCACACTGCGTCTCCTTTGTAAATCGTCACGCGCATGCGTTCCCGTACACGTCACGCGGCCAATCAAAAGCGTTTTTTAATTCTTCCACCAATTAAAATGATGTGGTTTAATTCGCGTTATTTTTGGCCCAATCAAATTTAATTTTTATTTTTATTTTGGGGATCTCGTATTTTGAAATTCAAATTCATTTCCGACCATGGAGGTCTGCAATGGGTGTCAATTCAATTAAATGAAGTTGATTGCACGTTTTGGGGAAAAAACAAACAAGCTATATCATTTTTTTTATCTCATGGTGTTCTCCTGACCTCAGTAAAGTGTCCTAAGTGCAAGTTGCCCGCCTATACCCCCAGTTAAGCGAGAATCAGCGTCAGCAACCTGTACTAATCTCAGAATCCAACGACAAACCAGAACTGGGCCAATAAGGTAAGAAATAAGTGATTCCATTATATGGTGAGTTAGTTAGGTTAGGTTATGTGACGTCAGGTTAGGTTTATGCTTTTCTAGTATTTTTTTTTTGTATATTTTGTATTCGCTTACCCCGGTAGCAATAATTTTTGTCAGAAAACGCCTCACCAAAAACCCCGGATAACCAAAAACCGGCCAAATTCCGATGGAAACGATTACTCAAACTATCCAACCAGGAGCGAACTCATAACAATGGTTTTAAATTAGACAAATTTAGATTCAGGCGCAAAATAGGTAAACATTGGTTTGGAAATAGGGTAGTAGACGACTGGAACAAGTTACCAAATATCATCATTAACTCGAATACGCTGGATAGCTTCAAACATAGGTTGGATGGATATAAACCAATGGGGGTTGGGTGTAAATGGGACCGCCCAGTATGGACTAACAGGCCCGCTACAGTTTCCTCCATTCTTATGTTTAAGTGTAAGATAGGTAAACACTGGTTTGAAAATAAAATTGTGGAGTCGAACAAATTACCTACATATATCACGGCGAGTTCACTGGGAAGCTTCACATACAGGTTGGACAGATAAATGAGCGTTATGGGTTTCTGTAAACGGGGCTGCCTATAAAGCTCACTGCAGTTTCCTCCATACTTATGTTCCTAAGTTTAATGGTAAAATAGAAATCTAAAAAAAAAGCCGGTACCTTCCACAGCTAATGTATATTACTCCATAAATATACGACTTTATTTACATAAACCGAAAAATACATTTAGCGCTGTAGGCTACAAGTACCTTGAAACTGCATCGTAAGTTGGATCCCTTAGCTTTGCACGACTTAGTCGTGTTCTCTGGCTGGGCGCTATACCGCACCATCTTGAATCTGTAAAGAGAAGCGGTTGGGAGTTCAATCCAAAAAATAGATGCCGAACCAGCAACAATCTTCCACTCCCTGCCGTGTACCCCACGTCGATGACCAGATGTAAACATCATATATTGCACTTTATTTCCCCACTTTACAATTACTAAATTGTTCAATCACAAAGCTTAGCTTATAGTTCAACAAGTAGGTATACCAAATTAAATAAAACTATAAATTAAACTTCAATAGTGTGACGGATATTCGCTGATGAGAATATCAGACTTTCCACTCACCTCTTTGTGGCCTGTTGGCCGATGGAGGAAGGATCGTTGACTAGTGGAGCCGCCTAGCGGCAGCAAGAGCAGCTACGGTAGTTCACACGCTGTGGCGCCAACTTCAAATATTACTTTGTGCAACCGACAGTAGACGTTTCTCTTATTATTTTTAAAGCTGAACAAGAAGTGTTTATATTGAAATTGTATGCATGAATATTAAAATCAAAAGTAATAAATGATAAGATTATTCTTTCATACTCATACATAACAAGTTAAAGTGATTTCCATATTGTAACACCTTGGAAACCCATAGTTGATGAGTAATTAGCATTGAAAAATGTCAGTAAAATCTTTCAAGGGTCATTTTGGCCAATAATTACTCTGCAATCAAATCCTATACCACATATTCATAAAGAGCAAGCTCAGGAGTACCCATACTACGATTTTCAGCAAAATCTAATTTTTGGCCAAAAACCACCAAAAATGTAAGTCTTACACCAGTGGTCTCAAAGTCAAAACCTTTCAAGGGCCCATTCTTATTTTAGTTACCCTCTTCAGGGCCAACACAAGTGCTATATCATATATTTGCAGTATTGAAGTTTACAGCTTCACACATTGCCTTACCTGGCTTGCCAGGAATAACTCATTTGGGTTTGTCTGATCTTAAGTATGTAAAATTCATTTTACTAGATAAACATGATTATATCAATTTCTTTCATAATTTCACGTGATGATAAATTTTACCGTCATCCCACGGGCCACACCTGACACATTTGGCCCTCTGACCATGAGTTTGACACCCCTGATTTAGAGTGTAAAATTGAGCCATTGTGCTAACCCCAAAAAGCTTTGTAAGGGATTTTGTCCCAAATTTCTCCCTCTGCTGGAAAATTTGATGCCCGAGTGAAAAACCTAACTATTACCAGTGAAGCAGGGTGGTATAAAAATTGCCAGGTTGGTGCATCCTTACCAGACTTTGTTTGGAAAGGAAAAATTCCAATTAATTCATACTTGTCATCAATATCCGTACCATATGGTTGTTGTAGCCTTGTTATTTTCTTTCTTTTATGCCGGGCAATATTATATAAAATGTTCCAAATATTCTAGTTGATTTTTACATATACCCTGTAATGCATTGTGATTTTCCTTGTGAATTTTTTTCTTTCATTTGCCGGTAGTGGTAATATATTCATTCTACTTTTGCATGACACTATTGATCAAGGTGTATTATCATGTGTTCCTCACACTTAATAGATTCTTACTGCCTGCAAAGTGTTATTCTTGATGAGATAAATGATTGATAAGCAGTATCTTCTTATGCCCACTTGTTGGAAAATTTCCTTGCTACATTATTGTATCCATCCCTCCTTCAGGAAGAACCAGCTCTGGAGTCAACAGACAGTCTCTCTCTTCCTCAGTACCTGCCACACACTGTCTGTATGCCAACAGCTCCCTGCAAGTTTTATATACTGTACTGTATTTATAAAGGCAAAATGCCATTTGATAATAATGAAACCTTTTTTATTCTTCTCTGGTTATTTGAAACAGTTGGGTTCTCCATAGTGTGAATATGAAACTTTTCGAGAGAGAAGAGGTAACAAATGTTGACAGTATGCCTGCAATTGGGAAAAGGTGAGGTATCCAGATGAGGAACTTGTGAGTATGGCTGTGGAAATTGAGATGGATAAATTGGCTTTAGGTTTCATCATGGAGTACCCTATGGTATTTATTACTATACTGGCTTGTGAAGTAGTCATTTTGTTGATGTTTAAGCTTTTTTTGTAAACCCTTGTTTGAGTAGGCCAGTAGATACTATGCAGCAGTCTACACAGATTTGACAGGAAAAATGTGACTGTTGCTAGATTGCAACTACCGGTAGACCACACAAGTAAATCTCATGACCTCGGGATTCTAACATCCTCCAATCTACTAAAAGGTCTTTGGCTACTCTGATGGACTGTATGACATTGTACCCTACTTTGTTAAGTATGAATGTATATAAATCACCTTTGGGGTGCTATTGTACGTGTCCTTACCATTTGAACTGACTGAGAAAATTACAGTATATAGAACAATTAGTCTCCCTCACAAGAGAAGTTTGAAGTTTACTTGCCCTAGGAAATTTTGAAGGAAATTTGCTTGCCCATTTTTTCATGGGAAAAGTGAAATAAACATTTTAAAACGTGCTAATGTTTTGTGTCTGCTTACATGCCTTTTACCATTAGTGCTTCAAGAACCCGGTCAATTTTCCTTGCTTCTTTTACACGTTAATGTTTTAACTTCAATTTGTAGCACAACCATACTTACACAGCAATCAGTGGGAGCTTTTATACAGATTTTCTGATCAAATCATTTTGAGAATCGACCAATAGAAAAAGGAGGGATCAGTTGTGACATCACTGATGCTGTAGCACATGCCTGGGTTATCTTAGGTCAGGTCATGATATGGCCTCAGGTCAAACACACACTGCCTCCCCTCCCATCACCTCAATAGTTGAAGGACCTTACTGGTTTAACATGTACAGGGAGGTGGGGTCGCACAGCACCTTTTTAATTCTTGTATGGGTAATTTCTCTGAAAATACTAAATTGTCCTCCAGGCAAGTGCCAGGCACACGGGCATTAAAAATTACTTGCTTGGCCCCTAAACCAGGCTGCTGTTAATCTGCACAACTTGCATTTGAAACATTACCTGTAGCACCATCCTTTCCTAGACAAGTTAAGAGTCACTCAAGCTATTGAATGAAGGGCATAAATAAAAAGATTATCCTAAAATTCCATTTATGGCAGCATTTATAACTAAGTTATAAATGAGTGAATGGAGATTGCAGCCTAGAAAATCAAAATGGCCAAACTGAACATCAGAGTAGATTAGCACTAGCTAATGTTAACTTGTGAGCTCCTTCAAACTTCCTGCCCTCTATTATCTATGAGAGAAACCTTTGCTATTACTCTCACTTCTCAGGCTGCCAAATTACTCAGTCATTTATGTTGGGTGTTACAGTCTAAGCCAATAGCTTCATGTGTGCAGTATACCTGAGGATTGCAACTGATAAACAGAAAATTGCTAATAAAAAAATAGTACGCTTACTGTAAGTCTGTATGAAATATTCTAATATACCTAAATCTTTTTCTGTTGTCATATTTTTAAATGTTTTAAAATAAAACACACAAAAAAATGTAAAATATAATCAACAAAATTATACAAATGACACCTTATGTGGGTGACAGATATCTCTATAATATCATGAAATTTGTTGAGGTAACTTATCTATGTTAACACCAGGAAATGTATCAGACCAATCTCAGTGTTCAGATGAAATGCTGACTACAGTTGCAACAATATCATAACCTAACGAGAGCCACCACAAGTCCATACGGAGCTCATCAGATAACTAACAGAAACCACCAAGACTCCAAACACTCTACTGAATTGTTCATGCTAAATGATATTGATTTTCTTATTTGACAGTGGCAGGGGAGATAATTCTGAGAGCAGATTTTAGTAATTCCACTTATTATTATCTATTTTACAAAAAACTACAGATGTTTGCTGCCTTAATGGACTGAAATTTATCAAAACCTTACGGTAAGCCGTATATAACTTTCAGAAATGTAAGTATACAAAATAAAAATATTTGCATAATTTATTTAATAAAAATCTTAATCAAGAATACATCAAACTTAATATATTAAATAAAAAATATTTACAATTCTTATGAAAAGTTTGAAGACATTACACTTTTACTGAGAATTAACTTGACTGAACTGACAACTTTTCTTGATTTTTAGTACTACAGTATGTACATTCATTAGTAACTGAATTAAATTCCACCTCTAGCTACAGTATTTCAAAACCGAGTTTAACTTGGTAGACAAGATATTTTTTATACACAATATGCTAAATATGGTTCTTAACAAAGGAATATAGAATACTATACTGAATTGTATTAAGAATCTTTGTAGTACATGTACTTTATTGTTCCTTGAAATTTCAAACAATTCTAGTAAGACAGTCTTCAGAAAAGATAGATTCCCACTTTCTTATATATTTTCTTAAGCAGTTTATATTTTCTTTCAAAAAGCAGAATGGTACATTTTCAGTTACATCTACTGGTACAGTGCTTCTTTAGGAGTTTTGTTTTCAAAATAATGCTTCTTGAGACTCTCCTTTTATAGGCATGCCATAAGAGACCCATTTGTGCCTTTGGGGGTCTCGTGGAGAAATTCTTGTTGAATCTCCATATCATTTGCAACATTGCAAGTTTCATTCACAATATGACAATTGGTCCCAAAGCTGCAGTATATTTTCTTTGTATAACTATTAACTCAGTTTCAAGTGAAATATTTTTCATTATGATCTTAAAGGAGTAATCTATCCCAGCAGTAAGTGGATACACATCCACCACTTGTTTAAGCAGCCTTCCTTTATCCAGTCATCAGTCTGCTGTAGGAGTGCATGTGCTGAATAAAGAGGCACCGGACAGACCTCCAAATATCAATGAATATCATTAAATACAATGTGAGTAGCATTACCAGTATGGAATATGAGACAATGAGTGAGTCCATAAATTAATGTACTTCATGAAAACTTGAAATCTGAGCAAATTGAAAAATATATAATTTCTGCCCCTATGAAGGATTAATCTTATCACCAGGTTATAAAATGATAGTTCTCTCAATGTACTGAGGTATGCTTAATCCATAGTCAAAATCTAAAGGAACTACAATTCATGGTCAGGCATCTTAAGAAAATTTACAAACAGTGACTGTCAGGTAGATAGGACATTACCAAAATATTTTGGCAGCATGAAAAGGATTCTTTTGAAAATGTACATCATCCTAAACATCATGCTTTAGCTCATTGTCACCAAGGAAATAGTGAGCTGCAAAAATGATTGGAAGTTTATTACTATACTTAGATTTAATGAAAACAGCATTGATGCCATTTGTAAGCTAGGTATGGCTGTTTTCATACTCTCTTCCTCTATTTTTCTATTCCCATATTTCTGGGTCCTAAAGTGCCCACTCTGAGAGTTAGGGCCTGAGGCAAACTGTTCATTTAATCTCCCTTGTGGTGACCTTTAGCCTAATGTCAGAACTAACACTCTCCATAGCATTAGTCACAAACAAAGTGTTTCACAATCTCAGGATGACATCTTCCCAGATGGAAAGGATTAGCAAAATCTGTAATCCTAACATGACAGTGATTAAGTTTAATTACAAAATTAAATGTTTAGACATATTCAAAGTAACTGACAAATATATATATATATATATATATATATATATATATATATATATATATATATATATATATATATATATATATATATATATATATATATATATATATAATAAAATCTCTAATTTACAAATAAAGGGTCAGCCAACATGTAACTGATTCAGTCAAAAGCAGTTGTGTCTGGTGTAGCCTTAGTGCGACTATGAGCCTTCCATTCAACAGAGCAGAATGTCAAAGTGCCAATGGTAGCAAAAATAACCAAAATTACAAGATGCCAATAAAGTTCAAAGACACTTGAGTAGAAGAAGCATGCAGCAGCTGAGAGGGACTGAGTAAACTTGAAAAGGGCAAATGCTGGCCCTGAATTATCTTCATAAACAGAACCAAGAATGGAGAATATCTGGGTGTTGAAACAAGCATCTCCAAAGCCCAACATGAAGCTGCACAGCATAGCAATCACTTGACTGAAAAATAATAAACAAAATTATTAGAACCATTTTATAAAATCAGTAAAATTCAAAATCATAATACATGTACAGGATATTCTTCATATTCTACAGGAACTGTACACTGTATTAACCAAAATAAACCATTTAATTATTAATCGTTACATCTAGATTATTGTTTCTGTTTTCATCCCAATAAAGTACTTTATTTTATTTACAATATCTTTTATTTACTGAAATTGACTTTTGAATGTCAATAGTACATAATCTTGGGTGGTGATGAGCTAAGAATAACAGAGTGAATATATGAAAATCACAAATCCAGAAATTGCAAACATCAAAGGCATTCTTTCAAATCTTTTCCCACTCAATACAGGGTGGCTGATTCCTATTGGCTTACAAGAAGTGTTCTACTTTCGTACACCCCTTCCACAATAATGCCCTAAATCTGGTTTTACCCTGTTGCTTCACACATCCCAGCATCATTCACCAGTAGTACATCATTCTCAAAAAAACATGCAATGACAGACTCTCCATTCATTCATGCAAACTGCTACTTTCTACATACCTATCTTCCTTAATTCTAGTGTGTCCTTCACCCCATCCTTCTAGCTATTTAAATCTTCACCTCTCAAAATTTTACTGTCCAGCTCTGAGTTATACACTCTTTTTACAATTTTTTTTTTCAGTTCGTCCATACCACTGGAGCAGAGGCTGAATGCTTTCTGTCCAACACTTCTCACTTCTGCACCTCCTACTTATATGTTCTTTTTATTCTCTATTTCCTATCCATCCCTCATTTTCCTCTCACATTATTTCTATTGCCTTAAATTTTCTACTCCATCATTGAGAGTTTACGGTTCAAACCCACATAACATCAACTCAATAATTCCCTCATATATCTTTGTCAGCTTTGATACAAATCCTTCTCCACACATTTCAATGATGATTCCATTCACTCCTGATGCCTTACCATTCTCAAACTTAAGTCTGTCCTACCTCCTCACTTATCAAATTTATCTCATTCACTTTGATGCTATTCATACCACCACATCTCAAACTGAAAAATTGTATCTATCGTTGTCACCTGTTACATTAAGTCTATACTCCAAATATTCTCTCCATCTCCCTTTTACAGTACTTCTTTTTCTTCCCAGAATATATCCCCCCTCCCCTTTTTTTCCATTCTTAACTGCCAATTCTATTTCTTCACTTGGTTTTCCTAATTAATTCAATCCCCCATGGGAGAGCTTTTTGTTCTTTTTAAATAAAATGTGACAAATTGTCTCCACATCTTTCATTTATTCTTCTTTTACATTAATTTTACTCCCTTTCTAATCTCTCTATACTGTATTGTACTCTTCCTTAATTCCAACTAGTGCTTGTACCATACGTCCTCCTCCTTATTCAGCATTGCCAACCTTTAATCTGACCATTTTCGCTTCTTGTTTTTTATTCCTATTCTCTTATACAGTGGTACCAGCATATCTAAGTAATTTTCATATACTGCATGACAAACAAAAGCAATACCAGGTTTCTCCAGAGTAATGGAATATACAGTACAGTATGTCAAGATGAAAATCCCCTTATGCATCAATGTAAAACTAATGATGCTGAATCTGGGTAGTACATTACAGTTCAATTTATTTTGAGAGGTTTTTATATACAATCCTCAGTACAATAAAAATTTGGGCAATAATTGCTATACTGTACTGTGTATAAAGCTATTACACTATACCTTGGCTGGCCATCTGATATAAATGAAGGATCTTTTGTATTTTGTAGAGGAGACATTGTAGGCAAGTTCAGGAAAATGAGGAAGAAGCAGACCATGTGGACCAGATAACCCAGAAGAACAATTGGATCTCGACCAAATTTGACAGTTTTTGAACCAAAGATTCCAAACACACCTCCACCTGAAATGTAAAATATTATATATTAATGACAGTGAATTAGAATAGTTTCTCTGCTCAATACCTGGAGAAAAAAAAATATATATATTTCCTGCCAAGGAGACTGGTACCTGTCAAGTCCAATGGTATTAATTGAGGCTTGAACCTCAACATTCATTAATCCTGAACTCCCCTTTGTTGGATGGGCAAGGGGTTTAAGGAGGCAGCTCATGTAAAATATGCCGACTTACTAAAGGCGCCTGGCCCCTTCACATCATTCAAGATTAATAAGTTCATCAATTTGGATATACAGATCTCCCTTCCCTCCCCTACTGTCAGCTTCACATGAGAGGGGGACATGGTACAGTGGTTGCTTCAAAAGAGAATACACAACAATCCAATTAGTTATGAAAGCCAAGTTTTCCAAATTCTGTAACCTAATCCCTGTAATTAAATTAAGGCTGAACACAACATCTTTTTTAATCTTATTTTTAGATTGGCAAGTTTGCTATCAATGGAAAGGTTATTCCCTGTAGAATGCAATGGAAATGCAAATAAAAAGTCTCTAGAAGAGAACTGCAGTGATGGATTAACTGTACTTGAGGCCTGAGGCTAGGTTTTATGGGGGCACCTTTTCTATGAGTTTTATTACAGTACCAGTATATGCACATGTACAGTACAGTAGATAATTTAATAATAAGATATTTAAGCTAACTGAGAAACCAACATCAATGGATAATCATATTTTGTGACTTTTTTTTTATGCAATTTTATTACCTAGCTAAAAATTGGAGAAAGGAACACTAAAGAAACCTAACACAATTTATTATCTGTATGCTAAAACAAAGCAATATTAAAAGCAACTTGGGATCTATAAAAAGATATATAATTTGTAAGTTTGTGATCTTTATCACATATGATCAAAGTCCCGAGAAATTATGATTGATAGAAGCTTGCCTTTTGAGCTTTCTCTTTTGTGAGTACTCAAATTATTTCATGCAACACAAGTCTTTCAAAATATCACTTTCTATATACAGTACAGTACTGTACATCAGTGAGAGCATCTTCAGCCTCCCTTGACTAGTTCATTATATTCTTTAGCTTTGAAAAACTGCATTCACCTATACAATTTGAGACCAACAGGCATATATACATTTGCAAAGCTATTTCCAAATTAGTAAATAGATCTTTCAATTCATGATGCAGAAGCACTCAATAAATGATCAATTCACTGTTACAATACAGGGCAATGATTTTTAGCCTTGTTATGGAAACCATCTATGAGTAGAATTCATTTGGACGAAGGGTTAGGTGGTAGCACAGGAAACACAGGATCACTGGTGTTTCATCATGAAGGACTCGAAAAGGTATTGATTTCCTTTTTGCCCGAGACATGGGCTTCAATTGCCTCAATGATAATCCATCACTAAAAATGTGGAGTCATGAGGTCATTATGTGTTAGGTCCATATTGGCCAGCTGATGATAAGAGTTACCTTTCCTGCAGCCAATCATGGGAACTAATGAAAACCTGAAATGTAATCCCCTATTTCCAATTGGCCCAAGGTAGTATATTTTTTCAGCAGATTCACTTTGTAAGATTTTTCCAGAAACCTAACCAGTGTAAAGTAAGGGTTTACTGTAAACAGATTTCACTATATGACTAATGCACAAATTTATCTTTAAAAAAAGTGCAGTTACCCGGTAATAATGGTAATTGTTAAGGTGGAAAAAGTATATGAAAGAACTAGGAAAGGGTAATTGTGAAAAAAGTTAGCTTACTGCTTATGATTACAGTAATTAAATTTTTTTTTATAGTACTGTACTGTACAGTACTTGCAAAGGAGATGATCTTATGTATGCTGGAAGAAAAAAGTTGGGAAGTCTGTATGTGAGACAGAAGTATGATGGAATGTTCAGTAAAGTCTATAAAGACCCTCAATACATACAACTGTCCCATACATGTACTGTATAATGAAAAAACAATACAGACAGATTAATGAATTACTGTACTGGTAATATAGTTGTCTACTTACCTAAGATTTCTCCACATCCAATGAACATTCCTGAAAGTCCAACAAGGCGTTTGGGATCGGGGAATCTGAGAGTGGCACTTAAGCACGCACTATAAACCCCACTGAAGAATGACAGCTCAATTCCTGAAATTAAAACCAATGTTGAATGGAATCATTTAATAATTAACTTGAATTAATTTTTAAGTATATTTTCAGTATCTGGAATTACTTCTTTCAAAAGTCTCATAAGTTAGTGAAGCCTGAGAACAGCATACAGAATATGGAAAAATCTGAAACTTTAGGAGGATCCCAGCGGATGGTCTACTCGAGTGGGACAAATTCTCCCCAGATGCTGAAGGATCTTTACAATTAAAATAATACAGTACTATGAGAAAAACATTTACCCCTATAAAGCAAAGTAATGCACAATATGTTCCAGTTTTCCATCCAATTAATCTTCATCAAGAATACAGTACAGGTACAACAGATCTATTAAAGGATGTTTTTAATGACCGCTAAGTATGCCAGATGACATTTATAAGATTACCCTACTGTACAGGGTATTGTTATCATGATAATTTCATATACTGTATATAGTATATTCATGGTCAAAAAGTATGACAAAAATTAATCAAGTGTAAAAAACAAAAGTGTAAGCATATGGACAAGTGTGAAGGATATTTTGGGATGATTTGTGATATGTAGTAATACCCCTTTTCCCTTTATTTGAAATCTATGTTTTTAACTTTGCAAATTCATAGCTTCATCACTGTCAGGTTGGATTCCCCTCCCATTTTATACATAAGATCTGCATTATCAGAACAAAGACTAGTTTGGCAACTATAAACTCAGAAATCAGCCATCTGGCAAAAAATTCTCAGGCATGGTTAATAGATGTATGCTTTTATACTTCATAGATAAACATTCTAAAAGTTGCATTTAAAATTCTAAAGAAAATCACACTGAATATGGATGTATCTACCGAGTATTTATATATCAGAAAACTAGACTTATCTTGTTTATTTACACCTGGATACCTGTTGCACTTGTAAGTACGAGGGTACATGTAAAATACTACTGTAACAGCATATCCTTTGGAAAAAATATTTTCAACAGTATTTTTTTCTAGTTCAATACCTTCAAGCTTGATAGACTAATAAATGGAAAAATGGAAAATTTAAACACTACAGTACAGTACAGGTTGTACCTCTCTAGTCCGGCATTCTGTGGTCCAGAAACTCCCGTGGCCCGGAACGATTTTAGTTTGTCCAATAGGTAGATAGGCAGCTTTTTTTTGTTTTTTTACTTATCTGAATTATTATTATTATTATTATTATTATTATTACAGGAGGATTAAATTTTTGCCCCTCAGACCCCAATGTGGGTCAGTGACCTATGCCCGAGTGGGCTAATCCCCATAAAAAAAACAACAACAAAGCCGCGGGAAATTAAGGTTTGTTTACATCCGGCAGTTCGGCTGCTCTCTCTCTCTCTCTCTCTGCTTGCCTATACAGAGTACAACATTTAACCCTTCAATATATATGAGGAGTAAATAAGTGTTGCTTTCATATTCTTATGTAGAGTAATGACGATATATTTTCACATGTGCGCACTTACATACACGCAGTCTCACTTTTTTTTTACCATTAATGGTTAGCTACTTATAATGTTTCATTTATTAACATTAAATAACATTACAGGTACTTCAAACAACCATATTAATTTTTTTACATTAATTTTACTACAGCTACAATCAGGGTCTTATTTTCTTCAGTTTTATATGTAGAACCAATCAGTCACTGGTTTTGTAAGCTTTAACATAAACAATGCCGGGAGCCGTCTCGTCTCATCGTGTGTTTTAATATTCCACGTGTTATTAATAAATTGTATTGTTAATTTTGCACACACAAACATTAATTCAATAAAAACAAATTCAGAAACATTAATTAAAATATATATGAACAGTAAATAAGTGTTGCTTTCATATTCTTATGCAAAGTAATGACGATATGTTTTCACGTGTGCGCACTTACATATGCGATCTCTCTTTTTTCTTTACCATTATCGTTAGCTACTTCTATTGCTCCATTTATTAACATTAAATAACATAACTTAAAACAACCATATTAATTTTACTACAGCTACAACCAAGGTCTTATTTTATTCAGTTTTATATGTAGAACCAGTCAGTCACTGGTTTTGTAATCAACGAAAACAATGCTGTGTCATTTCCTCGTGTGTTTTAATATTCTACGTATTATTAATGAATTGTATTGCTCATTTTGCACACATAAACATTAATTCAATAAAAAAGACATTCAGTAATAAACAATAATGAATCTTTTGTACATAAGAGAAATGACGCTGTTTACACGATTATGCATGTCGTCTGCACGTTGGCTGGCCGTTCAAACCTGTCGAAATTCAAGTTTCCGCCGTCAAAATTTTTATTTATTTTTTTTTGTGTGTGTTCCAATAAAATACGTTGAATTAAAAACTCGCGAAATTTGAGAAGCTGCTATACGACATTTAACCCTTCAATATGTCTTCAAAGAGACCTTGATGCAGAGAAAGTGGTGCTAGTGCTTCCAAGCATAAGCACAAGTCACTATCTAGCCAGGAAAAGGGTGAATTTCCATGGTCCGGTACCGGTCAGGTCCCGAGGTTGCCGGACTAGAGAGGTACAACCTGTAGTACTTAAAAAGATTTCTCATAAATGTACACATTAATTATTTGAATAAAATCTTAAGAGATTATCATAAAAACATTTTACAACATGACAAACCTGTATAGAAAAAGGTTGCAGATAAAAGCAGCATGTCCTTTGTCTTAAAGAGAGCTAATGATTTTTTTAGAGCATTAAACGGACTGCCAAGGGATTCATCAGCACGGCCACTGCCACCTGCACCAGGTTTTGGAAGGGCACACATAACACCAACGCCAATAACTCCAACGGCAGTCAATACAGAAAATACAACGTTCCGTGTTGTCTTATCAATAATATCTTTACCCATGAATTGGTAGAAGACAAAGATGTTACCAAACAACATACTGGAAAAGAAAAAAAAAGAAAAAATCTAAATTACTTATCATGAATAATAAAGAACTTAAAATTTCAGATTTCCATTTGCAAGAAATTACTGTACAGTCCGGTAACACAAAATTTTTACCCCAAAAATATATTTCAATGAAACATAGAGTAGGGTAATTATTATACTCTCCTAAAAAGAAAGCAGAAAGTAAAAATAAAATAAAAAGGAGGATAGATCAAAAGAATAGAATACTGTATCTTAAAAAAATTTCTATGTCAGAGATGGGGCAAAAGTGAGAATAAAAAAAAAAATCTTGAAGAAAAGGAGATTGAACATCATCTTTAAGCAAAACTCAGGATGAAGAAGTTATATACTGTACGGTATAGTACATATAAAAAGTGGAGGTGGAACAGGTAGTACAGGTATAAGTGACAAGAGAGGTATGTGTACAGTTCAACCTACTCTAACGTATAAGCGTGAAATAAAGTTCAATACAAGATTGACAGACCAAATTCAAGCAGCAGATATAGATACGTATCTAATAGTTTAGATGAGATGTAGGAAGAGTAAACACAGTGAGAAATCCTACTACAGTATACAGTAGTGTACTGTATAATACAGGCACAGAAAAAAATAGAACACAGCTGAAAACAAGTAAGTTACCGGTAGTCTAAGGGAGCATTAAAAGAGACCATGTATGAGGTGAAGATACTGCACAGTGATATAGAGTGAGTGTGTGTGTGTGTGTGTGTGTGTAAAAGTATGTTTGGGATATGAAAGAATGTACAGTGTTTATAGACGAGAATGTTTCAAGAAAGCTCTGCACATGCCAAACTCCAGGATAATAAAGATAGGATATGGAAAGTCAGGTGGATTTTTAGCAGAGTCATAATCAATATTTCATTGTAATACTGTACTGTATGCTAAAAAAAAAATATCACAATCCACCATTAACACTAAGGCCACTAGGTATTATAGCGTCAAGTGAAGAGCTTAGTACAAAACTCACCCTCAAGGAATATGAATACTGTAGTAGTATTTCATTAACATTAAACAAAACATCTTTCAACAAACCTGCTCTGAAGCATAGCCCAGAAGATGCCAGAGTTCCGAGAGATTGTCTTCTGAGTGGACATAAGAGTAAGATAGTTTCCTTGACCCGTCCAGATCAAAGCAGCACCAGCACCCACTATCACAGATGTTACATACAGAATCGCTGTGTTGGGCCACAGGAAGCCAATGATGAAAATTCTGCAAAGGAGTTATATGGTAAAAAGCCATAAATCCCAAATACTGTACTGTACCATAAAAATTAAAAATGTCACACAAGCATGGAAAATGTCAATAAAACGATAAAGATGATGATACCTGTACTAAATCTGCTTGGGCTAAAATTGTGAAATTTAAACTTCTCACAATGGAAACATGAACTACAAGAAAATAATACCTGTATGTCAAAATTCCACTTAACTTATACAGTATGTAGGAGGAAGTTGATTGCTTTTCAAATCAACAAAAACCTACAACAATAAAGAACTTGGTACTGTAGTGGTTTATATCTAACCAGTGCGGCTCAACTGTAGTGTATTAATACTTTACATATTGGTGAGTGACCTTCAACTTTTACATTTCGACCCTGACAGTGCTGCAGGTAAAGATTTGTTTTTAGTTTACCCTTAAGTCAAAATATAAAAATTATGTACAATAAAAAAAATAAATAAAAACTAAAAAAAAGTACTAAAAGAACACCTGACCCTTGTCAGCACGATAAGTAGAGTACACAAGAGATATGAAATTGTAAATGGAAGATTGAGGCATTAAATCCCACTTTATTAGTAAGGGAAAACACAAAAGACCTGCAAGATATGCTTCCACTAACTGTGCTCGGGTATCCAGGCAACATGTAATACCCTGTGGTAAGAAGATACTCTACTGTACTGTATCGATAAGGTCTAAAGACAGTATTTTACAACATGTTAGAAGTTCAACAACTTTCTCAATGCTATGTTTCTAGCCTGCAGCCAAAAACAATGTACAGTACATTCTTGCAACTCAGCAATGCATGTTTCCATAGTAATGGCACATTCTGCTTGGGTGTGTTTAGTAGTGGTGCATCTTGAAGATCATTTGTGAGGACCCCCAGACTGATAATTAAAATAAATAATTTTATATACTTACACATACGTGATGCCTCCTATGATCATGGTAAGTTTGGGGCCAAGGATACTGAGGCATGATGGAGATAGCCAGTTAAAGGATGCAAAGACTGCATAAATAACTGCCAATGATATGTAGCCAGACCCATTAAAGTTGGGATCCTCTGCTTTGATGCTCTTGATTACCACTTGCTGTAAACAGTGATACACCACGTTAGTTAATTTTCATAATAAAATCATTAACACTGAGTTTGACATCTCCCAGTGACTGCTTTTCTTAACAAACATATTCATGCATGAGTGGAAATATCACTGAATTTATATACAGCCACTATATCAGCTATATCTTAGGGATACTGTATTGCACAATACAGTACAGTATTGTACTGTATTTGCAATGGGCTACTGTATTTTCTTTTCTAATTGGAAATGTACTTCAAGACCAATATTCATATTCTTTTTAGGCATAATCAATTGCCATAAAACTTAAGTGTAAAATTAAATACAGTATACTGACTGTATTCTGAAGAAAAAACTGTACATGTATACAGTACTGCATTGTACTGTATTTCTGTACAGTATTTAAATTTGATGCTATGTACAATCAAAGAGAAAAGTTGTTTCACGGTTTTGTCCGAAGAATAAATATAACTCTTGAAACATTATGAGAGCCCCCTACCACAAGGCAGAGCGCACCAAAAGTTTAGCCCTTCGGCATATGTTTACACCAAATTTCACGACACAACTTTTGTCTTTCATTGTACATAAACATGATATCTGTTATAGTAAGAAATTTAGTACATACAGTTATGTCTCTTATAAAAAAAAAGTAAAATTCTAAAACACCTACATAGGATATGCACAAAGACTGTAACCCTAAAATAAATCTCATAAAATGACACAATACTGTAATATATAATACTTATACTTTACTGTACATACAGTATAGTTAAACTTAACATTGAAAAAAAATTGCATAATATCAAACAGGCCAAGCATTCTCACAATCTAGAGAAAAATGGCATGCTTTATAAACATCACAAAATATATACAGTATTTTATTCCCAGAAGTGCTGTACATACTGTATACTGTATTTGAGGTGTTTGTGAGGACCCAAACATGACCTTATACCTGTACATTAAGTCATGAGACAATACAACACAACACAATATCCAACTTAGATTTGCATTCTTCAATAATGTGCTGGTACAGTACTGTGCACCGTCAACTTATACTCATATAACATCATCAGTCTAGTACTGTACCTATAGATTTATGGAAATAAAAATCTATGGCATCCTGTAACTGACAAGACAGTACAGTACAGTCCTGCCCAGTACAGGCTACTAGGGAAAACATACTGTATAACATCCACTCATAGGTGCATATTACAGGGGATATAGCATTTACATAGAGAAGCAGATATGACAAAATAAATTAGCATTTTGACCCGGTTTATCAAGGTCGAAAATCCAATTCAACTTGTAAATTTAAGTTAAGGTTAAGAAAGCAATCAACCAATTTTAATGATAACATAAGTTGTATGAATAGAACTCAGCCCAGAAGTGAAGTACTGTACTGTATATACCATAATAATTGATAGTGTTTGTATGTGTTTCTTAATATGTTAAATAAAATTACAACCTACAGTATGTAATGCATAAAGAAGCAACTATATTCAGTACTGTAGCTAATCAGTTTCCTTCATCTCAACAACAGCAATGCTTTTTTTTTTTGCAATACTGTACCGTAGTAATCAACATTTTATTTTTGCCCTTGTCTCATCTTTCACTGCAACCAGGAAATTATCTAACATAAATCACAGTCCACTGTAAGGTTGACTACAACATACAACACCACCACAGCTACTCCCAAGGAGCAAGACAGTACTGTACAGTACCTGTATCTCACAAAATTTCCCACAGGAGAAAAACCAGTTCCAGTACAGTAGAGTACTATACCTGTAACAAGAATTTTGGCCCTAATACTGTATACTCTTTTTGGTTATATGAGTTAACAAATTCCACAATACAGCATAGGTGTACAGTACAGTATTTAAAAAGTACACCTCACCAAAAACTATCTCCCATGATTGATGAACTCCCATCATTACAATAGCTATATCAAATACAGAGTACTGTAGTATACTGTAAATACTGTGTTTCGAATCTACCAGTAACAATCTATATTAATGAAAACAAACATTTATCATCTATTAAAAAGTAAATTGTCTTAAATTCAACAACATTCAGTCAATAAATATACTGTAGTTACACTTTCAGCGGGGTAACATACAGTGTCAGTCCATTAAGTCATGAGACAAGTGTTGCTTGCACCTCCTGGGTGCCTTTCCATCGACATACTGTATACTGTACTGTACAGAGCATAAGGCACCTTCAAACAGTTTTTTGTCACTGCTGCCATGTACACTTACGCCATTGCTATTTTCTAAATTTAAACAAAGTAAAGTCTGGGATTAACAATTACCACTCTTCATGCAGTAATAACACTTAAAAGCATTACAGTATTTGTTAGTCCTATGGAAAACTAAGACTTAACCCTAACCCAACACCATAACCGTAGTGTTTGACAATTGGTGTGGCAATAGTGTGTCTTGCATGTTCAAGGACTAGTCAAGCTGTCCATGTCCCCATGTTTTATAAAAGCCTTGGTGGCTGTCAGCCTTACCTGCATGTTGCCCTGCGTCTGGAAGGAGGTGAACACTAACATGTAGGCCAGGCCTAACAGGATCACATTGATGGTGGCGCGATCTATAGGAATCTTCATCTTGGTGGTGGTAGGCTGATGGTGATGTTACTGATGCTCCAGGTGGTGCTTATGATGATACACTCCTTTTTATGAGTTTGGGACCCTCCACTAGTCTGCTACAACCATGGGGTTTAACGGGTATGATGTCCTTATTGTGGACAACAGCTTTTATGTCCTAGTCGGAAGACAGCACCAAACATTACACTTATACTGTACGAAGTTTGAGTTTACATTTAAAATATAAGTTACGGTAATAGAGTAATATATTTTCTTTGAGAATTTCACTATAACATTTGTTTTAATGCACAAAATACAATTTTCAATTCGGAATAGTTATTCACCCTCTAGCCGGGTGAATAACCCCTTCTTCATTAATTTATTTAAAAGCCAGTGAGTAGGATGTGGCATACACACATTTAGTGCCTGGGTACTGTATATTTGCAAAAGGTACCTCGTGATCTACTGATTTTAGCAGGAATGAACAACTGAGCAATATAGTCTGTCTGGCAATAGTCAAGGTTTCATTCCTGTTAAAATATGACATAGTCCAGGAAGGCTTTGTCAATTCAACAAAGTACCAAAGGTGCATATGCCACAGCCTACTGCTGGTTTTTAAGTACAGGGTGACAATTAATTCATGGGCACATTATTTTATATGGATAGTATAACTCTGGGATACCAACTATTTAGAACACAGTATGGAAATATTAGTGAACTTCACACCTCTTCTTTTCTTGCCACATATGCAATGCAACAAGGCAAAAGTTGCAAGAAACTTTTCCAAATACATAACACCATTTCAAGATTTGGGGACATTCCATGGTCACTCCAATCACCTGACCATTTTTATGGGACTACAGTACTTAAAGTTTAAGGTGTATGAAAAAAAAAGAGCACCAGAAAACCAGAAACGATATAAGGTGGATTTCTTCTGAAACAATTCAGCAAGTTATTGATAACTTCTTCCGCTACCATTAATGCATACGTTCTAATATAAGTTTCACCTGACAACAGTCATTTCCAAGAAATGATGAAGTGTGAATTTCACCAATATTTCCAAACTGTATTCTTATAAATACTTGGTATCCCAAAGTTATACTATCCCCCCTAAAATACTGAAGTGACTACCTTATTCCCTACAAATACTGATATATAATTTTCACTGTATTTTATTCAATCAATCGGTTACGTTAACTGTCGATGAGCACACACTACTACTACTACTACTTTACTGTCACTCAGAATCGAGTCTGACAATCATCCAGCTATGATACAATGATATGAGTTATTAAGGATGTCACCTAGGTTGGTGAGTTCTGAGGTGACTAGGACCGGCAGGGTCGATCACAGATGTTGCACATGTGGGGGGCTACATCTAGAGAGGGAGCGTCTTTCTGGCGTTGGCGCTTGTCTGCCACGTTATGCAGTCGGGCTAACTCGAAAGCATTGACACCTTCTTGTGTGGTGATCCCCCCCCCCCACACACACTTTTGCAGATAAATTTGTCAAAATACACGGCGACTCCTATATCTAACCCCATTTTTTATTTAATTCATCAATATAAGTACAGTGGCCCTCGGTTAACGAACTCAATCCGTTCCAGAAGGTCGTTCGTTAACCAAACGTTCGTTAACGAAACCATTGTTTCAATGGGTTTTTGGGTAGTGGTTCCAGCTCACCGAAAATTTCCTAAATTCAACAAAAATGGTAGAAAAGTTCACTTACTTTGAGGTGTGTATGTAGAAGGCTCCTGGATGATGATGATGATGATGGGATTTAGAATGGGGTGGAGGAGAAGGAAGAAGAGAAGGCATTGGGGTGGAAGAGAAGTCACCCCATGGTGCCATTTTACCCATAAAATTTTAGCTCTCTGGTTTAATTCAAGATTATTTTCTTTAAATCAATGCTGCACTGCATTATATATTGTCAATATATAAAATATATTTCAAAATGACCAATAATTTGCTTGGAAACACAGACAAAAAGCATTTAGTTGAAGAGAGTCTCAAGCAAGATGTTACCTCCAGTGAAAACAGAGAGAGACTGACGCCTGTTTGCTGTGTTAAGAGGCTGGATGCCGCGCATTAAACTAGTCACTTTACCTTCAATTTCGTTCAATAATTGTTAAAATGACTAAAAAATTGAATATTAAACTTTTAAAATTATTGAATAGTATAAACTTCTTGATATTTACAAAAATAGTAAGGAATTTAAGCCCTAGAACCGATTAATGTATTGGCGGACTGATACTAAAGCTGGTTGCCCGGTCAGTGCAAGCGAAAACATGTTGAGGTCGGTTCGTAAGAAGTTCGTTAGCGAATTTTTTTAGATTAACCGAATTGAAGATCCTTATGGAAGGCAGTTCGTTAATCGAAATTACGTTAACCGAGGTGTTAGATTAAACGGGTCACTGTAGTAGTAT